CGAGCTGTGTGCAGCCGACGTGAAATAATGTCCAACCAGCGCTCGTGGAGAGGGCGGCGGGGATGGATGAAGAAATAAACACGGATTTCATCACGAGGAAAAGAGCAAACTTTTATTTTATCCCCTGCCACACATTTCTTAACGAAACCGTAAGAAAAAAGGGAGGAATCATCACACTTGCTCCAAACAATTCGCAGTCGTACTTCGTCAACAGCCTGATTCCAGTTCCAGCGCGGAAAGCATGCGCTGGAACGACTCGCGGTAGGACGCTTCCCGAGTCCTGCGTCACCTTTCTGCCAACCTCTCACTGACAGGACAGGCAAGCAGTGACAATAAATACTTCGACACCGAGTATGAAGTAAGAAAGCCTTTCAAAATTGTTTTGACCCTCCCTGCCCTTCCCAGATTTCAACAGCTTGGAAAGCAGCGGCTCTCACGCCGCCTCTCCCCTGACAGCCCAGCGCTTGCCTGTCCGGCAGGGCTTGGCAGCGCTCATCTCAGCGCCCCGACGCTCTCCAGTCTCAGCTGCAGGAACAGACTAAAGGTTTTACAATTTTCATTGACAGACGGTTAACCTTAATACACACAAGTTGATAAAATGATAGAATCCGTCTCCAAATGATTTTTCAGAACACTGAAAGACAGGCAATAAATAATACTTAAATATTAAGAACATTCCCTTTAATTGCTTTAACACCCTTCCTTCCATCTTGTGTAACAAGCTGACAGCCCTTAACACCAACAGAGTATCTGTTAGAGACAGCATTCCATTTTACCAAACAAAAACTAAAACAAAATTTAGCTTAGTAAAACATTGCACAATGACAAACCCAGGCTACCCTTATGTGGTACACCCACTTACAATCCCAAAGGAAACACTTCCAGCAGCTACAGAACAGCAGAGAGGGGCTTACTCTGGAGCAATCGGAAGTTGGCAAACGTTTTAATCATAATTTATGTCAAGTGCAAATTAAGTGATTAAAAAAGTAACTGAAATGATGACAGTATGTTAACTATATAAAAGATATATTCTAGAGAACAACTCCAGCTACATAAAAAAGCCTTTTTTTTTTCCTAAGGAGGGATCAATATTCATGGCATGAAAAAGTAATAAAGATTCAGTCTCTAGAAGACAGAACTCCACAGTTTGTAGATCGTCCAAACACTATTTAGGTACTTAACTTCACACACACTACAGTTTAGCTTCTGACTATTTTTTATTAAATTCTGTCAGCAAATGCAGCAGGTGTAAGAACAGATTGATGACGTCCAAGTAGAGGCTGACTGCAGCCAGTATGTACTCTTCAGGGGATAATTTGTGCATCAGCAAATGAGTGTCATAAATAATAAACCCACAGAACAGAAGAGCTCCGGCAGCAGCAATCACCAAATCTATTGTGTCACTATAGAAAAACACCTGGAGGCAAATGAAACATAAAAAAAAATTTGTAAATTTCATTTTCTTTTTAATACTAAAATCCCTGCATAATAATATGCCACATTTAAAACAAGGATATACACTGTCTTTTTACTGTTGTGCACACACAAATACGGTATTACAATAACATTTCAATGTTCTTATTTCACATAGTCTCCAGTCACACAATCTCTTTTAATTGAGTAAAAGTGCCTTCACTTAAAAGCGGGGAAGCTCTGGTCTCCAAAACATTAACAATAGCAGAAAAACTAGAAAAACAAAATATAATTAAAATCCAAATCTCCTTCCTATTCTCTCAATCAAGTAGTGAATCTACAAATTTTGTCAATCAATGCAAATATTGCTTTTACATTAGCAATAACAGCATCCAACAAAAATTTGAATTGGAAATGAATGGTTAAAAGATCACCAGCATCATCTACAACAGTAATGGATCTAGTTAGGAATTTTCTTTCATTAAGCTATATTGGACTGTCCAAAACCTTCTTGTTATACTGTAAGTTAGTAAAAGGATGTGCAAGTTACTGTAGGTAAGTAAAAGTAAATACGTTAAAGAATATTTTTTAACCTTGAACACAAGGTATCTTACCCTCAACAAACTCAAGAGGATTAAAATCCACAAACAAGCAAAGAGGCTGAAAAAAAAAAATTAAACTGTGAGCAACAGTACCTTTTCTTTTAAATTCTTACAATCTCTTCCCTTCATATAAAAGCTCCTCACAATGTATTTGGTAAGCAAATGTTCATAATTCTCAGATGTCAACTGTTCATTGGTATTGGCAGTATAACTCGGTTTTATAAAGCTGTCAAAAGTTATGTCCTAACTTTACTATATTAAAAATATTTGAAGTAGCTGCCTTCTGTCTCAGTGAAAAATTCAGGTAAACTAGTTTTTAGTGTAACATTATGGTTTTAAGAATTATAATTTATTGCCAAGAAAGCAGAACTGCATAAAATTAATAATTTAAGATAAATAATACCCTCACCATTCCCTTGAAGCAGGTTCTATTGACCTATATGCATTGTTATATCTGCAAAGCTTGCTTTAAGAAAGGAAAAATCAGCTTAACAACAGAAAAATAAAAATTATCAATATAACCACATACCCTGCTCCAAATCTGCTGAAGTCCCTCTTTGACTGCAAGGTGTATGCAGTCAGTCCAAGAAATACAGCAGTAGTAAGAATAAAGGCTTGCAAGACAACGGACACATCATAGAAAGTCACTGTAAACAGAAGAAGTAAACTGTCATTTAAAGAACACCACATTATCTATTTGCTAAGTTATCTTTTGACAAAACAGAAGTTTAAACTTTCACAGACAGGGAAAAAAAATCTTAACTGTGAACAAAAAAAGTAAATTATGCCTGAACTTGTCTTTGCACTTCAAAATGACAATCATAGGACTCAGGGACCTTCGCACTAGCTAAGTTTGACAGTTTAGTATAGCTGTAGCTCCTTAAGTGGAGATAATAGATCTTCCCTACTCACAATAAAAATAAATATTAAAAACCCAAAAATAATAATTACTTTTAAGCCTAGATACGTGAGATCTTAAGGAAAAAGCTATCTGAATTTTTCAGGATACTGAAAAAAGAAAAAAAAAATCACAAGACAATCAGCCTTCCATAAAAGCTCATAAAAGTTTTGGTTAGGGAGTAGGAAGGGAAAGGGAAGAGAAATGAGTGGAACTTTTTTCTTCCCTCCTTCCTCCTTAATCTTTCCTTTTCCCAAGTGACTTTTTTTGCAGAAGACCATAAACCATAATGAAGAGGTTTCAACTTATGCTGGAAGTTATAATGCAAGGTGATGCCATGACTTGTCTGCACACCACCCCGTTTCAACCCTGACAACAAAGTACAGAATTCTCCAAACTTAAAATAATTCCCTTGGAGGAAACCGAGGGGTTAGATAAGGTTGCAGATCAGCGCTGCTGAGAGCTGCCTTGTAGGAAAGAGCATTGCTAGCTGTACCAAAAGAACAGATGGCACAACTCATTTCTCATTTCAGGTTTATACAATTTCAGTTCTGGATCAGAATCCAGTTTTCTCCCTTGATTCCCTGTTTTTTTTATTAAACTCGTGTCACTGTCATTAAAATTTTCTAACAGTGGATTTATTATCACTTCAGTCACATCTAGGAATCTCAGATGGCAATTAGTACAACATACAGGATTCCTTTTTCAATTTCTTTAAGGAATCAGACAATAGGATGGATACCATTTACCTGTCATGGCAACTGCCAGTGCTTCCAGCAGGGTCTACAAGAAGTAAAACCAAAAAATTACAAGGACAGAAAAACCCACAAAACACTTACACAGAGATTTCATATGCAATGAGTCCCATTCTGCTACATAATCCCAGCATGCATTACATTAGCTCTCCTGTTAAATCTTTGTATATGAAAATATGTTTAATTTTGAACGAGAAAATTGCAATCATCGTGTCTTACTGTGCTGGAAGTTGTCGTGTTACAGAAAAATAATACAACATAAACTGAAAATAAATGAGATGGCCCCTATAGAAAAATGCCGTTTAGGTTTTCTACTGAAAACACACAGCATTCTTATCACACTTCTTACAAACTATTCAAGGGGCTATAAAATTTCTCTGAGCTGCTATTAGAAATGAACTGGTTTCAGCTTTTCAATACTTGAAATACTTCCATCCAATGCTCTTAAGATCTCATTAAACAGCTAAGCATCTGCATCAATTTCCCTTTCCCACTCATCCTTGTTTTGAAACAGCTAACTTAAAATCAAACACATTATTGATGTCTGGGCTGAAAGCTGGTATAGGCCCTGAATTTTTCCAAAAGGTAGTTTCAAATTAAGTTTCATTACAATAAAAGACAAGAAAAGTATCTATGGCATGAACTAAGAGGTCAGAAACAACACAACATTTAAACTAAGTTTTGTTTAAACCGATTTATCACACAGAGATTTGAATCCTTCCATTCCTACACTATGTAATACTTAAACTCATTCCACGAACTCTCACATCACATTTGGCCAAACTATTACATTACTCCTTGTTACAGCTGCACTTGTTGAAAGTTTTTAAACATTTTACTCCTGCGAGAGTTCTGAAGTCAGGAAGCATATAACTGCATTACAATTTAAACAGTCTATTTACTTACACAGCAGAGCTGCCTTCCCATTGTATCACAAATACAATTTAGGCAACTCCTAAAGCATAAAATTCCAAAGCCGCTACTGTGACTTCTTTTCAGAAGACTGATTTGCTACGTAACTCAAATTATCCAAGAGCAACAGTTAGCCCCATATCTACAAATTTGCAACATTAGGCAGGAGACTGAAATTTAAGGACAGCTCTGATTGACTTGCCTGTGTTGGAAACATGCTCAAAATTTAGCACCAAAAAGAAAACAACTGATGAACTAAACACATTTATTGTGTGGCTGGCTGCACTTGGGTATCTGCTGGAGGTTGTCCATTAAACAAAGTAACAGAAATGCCTCCTTCTTTTGTACTGAGCAGTTTTATAGAAAAATCACAGACATCAATGGAACAATGAAAGCAAATAGATATATTTATACACACACACATAAAAAAACCCTTGCTCAAAAAAAAAACCCTCAAAAGAGCCATTATTCATGTACAACAGGGTTGCTAGACTTCTCTGAGTAGTCTAGAGACTCTTAGGTCTTCCAGTACCTAAAGGGGGCCTACAGGAAAGCTGGAGAGGGACTTTTGACAAGGGCATGTAGTGATAGGAGAAGGGGCAATGGCTTTAAACTGAAAGAGGGCAGATTTCCGTTAGATGTAAGGAAGAAATTTTTTACAATGAGGATGGTGAAACACTGGAACAGGTTGCCCAGAGCAGCTGTGGAGGGCTCATCTCTGGAAGTGTTCAAGGCCAGGTTGGATGAGGCTTTGAGCAACCTGATGTAGTGGAAGGTGTCACTGCCTGTGGCAGGGGGGTTGGAACTAAATGATCTTTAAGGTCCCTTCCCACCCAAACTGTTCTATGATTCTATGATTCTAACTGATTCCAAGTTCTAACACTCTTCCTAAAAAGATGCTGGAATAAACCTGAAGTAGAGGCTATCTAGGAACAACCTGTGAATAGAACCTCCAAAAAGTAACTCAGAACTTCATGAGTGTATAGTCACCACTAGTTTGCTTCAAGGAGTTAGTCACAATGAAAGATATTCTAGGGACCATTAAAATTGAATTTATATAAATACTTACAAATCCAAAAAGCAGGTATAAATTAATGGGATGCTTGTGTTTGCAGAGGGCCAGTGCTATGATCATAGCCAAAGATCCAAATGCAGATATCAAAAGCAAGAAGGGCCTGTAAATTTCATATAAGAAAAGTCATCAAAATTAAAAGAAAATATCTGGAAGACTAAAAACAGTTTATACAAACTCAAGTTTTTAAGTGATCACCTGGATAAAGATACTGCTTTGTCTATTCAAAGTAAATGTAAAGCAAGTTTTACAATAAAACTGCTCTAAAACATACCACCACAGATAATCAGTTAAAAATAGTACAGTCGCAAGTAAAGGCAATTTTTTCATACTGAAGTTGAAGATTGCCCAGAAATGCATCACCTAGAGATGAACTCGTATGAGGAGGAAAATCCATCTCTACTAAACTAATAATAGTAAAGTATATGTAATATTTTCCCTATTAAGAACTCCACATTCAGGGAATTGTTTTTTATAAGCACCTGAATGCATCAAACATGGGCAATAACTGCACCAAAGAAAACCAGTGCTGATCAGTAAATACTGCTATAATTAAATCACTGAAGCAGCCATCCAAGCCAAAACTAGACAATATCACAACAGTTCTAAGTGAGCGGGAAGATTCTAAATTATCAGATTTAAGTAGAAAGCTTTAGGTTTACAACCTCTGTTGTATACACTATAGCTTATATAGAAACTTTCATATAGCGTTTGATGCCTTTTTTTTATTTGGGCTTTCAAGTGAAAGTAAAAGCAAAGTCTGCGAGTGCACTTGGGGGAAAACAGAAACTGGGCTCAGTGCTCTCCTCCTTTCCCCAGTTCTTTTCCCCTGCCTGTTCACCACTTTGGTTTTGGAGACTTGTTTTTTTTTTTTCTCAGGGAAATCTGAGAGGCAAGAAGCAGCAAGCCCACAGGAATTTTAGCAGACTTGTTTTCAGGAAAAAACCAAGAGGAGATGGGGGAAGGAGGGAAAGGAGTAAGACATGATTCAGCTTTTTGGAACAGATACCTATAAACAACAGCATTCCAAACAGATTCTAAAATCAAATACTTAGACCACAAAACAAGAATTGTCAATAATTGAGATGTTCTGCAACTGATGTATAGGGTTTCATAGCATAAATATTAAAATAAGCACTATCAATAAACTATTGAATAAAATAAACTTCAACTATAATAATAAAAATAAATTTTAATAATAAAACAAGGAGAAAAATGTCAGAAAAGTTATTTCCGAGTCAGGTTACAAAATTTCTATTACAGAATCAAAACCCAGGGTATAAAAATGATAAGGAATACTGAAGTGTTCCAGAGCAACAAACTACATAAACTATACTTAACACATGATAAACAGCCCCGTTTCATTTTAGTGTTTACCTTTCATGAACAAATGCCTTCACTCCAGGAGAGTACAGAAAAATTGCAGATGTGACTGTGGTCAAAAGAACTTGAGTGGAAAAAATGCTGTAGACTTTCCGTAGAAAAGCTAGAATAAGGAAAATAAAAATGAAGTCACTTTTGAGTTATACTTGCAAAGTTCAATAGTAAATCAGATACAAGTTTTCTATTTGATAAGAAACCATCAGACACTTTATTCAGTGAAAAAGCACAAAGCAAAGTGGTAATAAGCCATTTTTCCTTCAAAACCTGACACTGTTCCAGCAAAATTACTTTTATTCCTGGACATCGTTATTTAAACAATAACACTGATGACAAAAGAAATAAAAAAAACCCACATTTGCAGGAATTTACTTCAGACTATTTTAAAAACTACATATACCTAATCTCACTAAGAAATTACCAACAGTATACCTTCTCCACACATTACTGGTATCTAATGAACTTAACGAAGAAATATTAATTTGGAAGTCCTGTGGAAGACAGTCATAAAAATTTGAAAAGGAAAAACTTTTACAGTAATATGTATTTGATTGACCTTCTCCCATGTTAAATATTGTTTATCATCATTTGTGACTTGCATTGTACCAAATGGTATCTACACACACAAACTGATAGAAAAAAAAATCCTAGAATTAAGCTAACAGGCTTCATAATTTTAGAATTATGAAGAGAGGAGAGCAGTTCAGGACATACAGATATATCATACAGATATTTTCTGTTCTGAATGGAAGGAGACCAAGTCTATTAGGTAAAATGCTTTGAAAGGAAAATTAAGTTTACAGGGAGAAACAATTCAATCTTTAATAGCATGGCCTAAGCAAATATAAGAGAAGCTGAATTACCTGCTTGCGGCAGGCAAAGTTAAATATATGTGTGAGCCATGAGGGACTGGGGCCTACTTTGTTGTAATAGACTGAACAAACCTAGAAGTAGCCTGCTAGCTAGCACAGCCTTCTCCTCACATTATTAAAGGCATCAGCAATTTTGCTAATGGCAATACCTCTTCCATATTTCCTGTGGCATCCTTTATTTTCTAAAGAAGATAACACTGTAGTTTTATAGGAAGAGGTCTCCTATTTATCAGAAATATCTAATAAAAAATTCACAGCACACAGCTGGTTTTATTCCAAGACATATTGAATAATACTACATTTATAATAATAAATAATACTACAATAATAAATAAATAATACTACAATGTTAAATAAAAAATACTACAATAATACATACAATACTACGTAATAATACTACAATAATCATTT